ACTGAAGCAAAAATGTTCATATTAATATTTTGCAGCTATATATTGTAAAGTTTTGATCATATGTTGCGTAATAAGGTACCTTAATGGGCCAGAATGCTAAATCTTTGACACTTTATATCTCGAAAAGGGGAAATATTTTGATAAGCATGTTGAACAAAAATTGATCAGAATAATGTTCTTAACAATATACACCCTTTTAATTTTTGCAAGACATCCCCATTAAGGACTTGGAGGGCTAGCCCCTAAATATTGTTATTCTAGATATCTTTTAAACTAAAGGAAATTTCTGAATAGTTGTTGAACAAAAAGTCTTCAGAATCACAAATCTTTCATTTGATATCAAGAAAAAGGGGCAGACCCCTCAAATTAGGTGCTCAGAAGGGCCAAAAGTCTGTCTTCTTTAATTTTAATGATGAATATTTTGTTATAAATTACTGAAGCAAAAATGTTCATCTTAACATTCTATAACTATATATTATAAAACTTTGATCATATGTTCAAAATAATGGGCCAAAATGGGCCAGATTGCCAAATTTTTGACACCTCGAACAAGGGGAAATATTTTGATAAACAATATTGAACAAAAGATGCTCAGAATAATATTTAAACAATATGCATCCTTTCAATTTTTATAGACGAATATCTCAGTCAAGATCTTAACTAATCTTATCCAAAATCAGACGGAAGACCCACTCGTTGCTCGCAACGAGAACCGTCTAGTTATTATTATTTTTTTCTGTCCAAATTTTGTGCAGACGATTTCTCAGAGATGGTTGGATGGATTCACTTGAAATTTTCAGAGATGATGTATCATGATGTAAACCTAATACGTTTTCTTTAATTTTTGGAAATTCACTTCCGGTCGGAAGTTATCGCCCTTTAACCGAATTTTTAGTGACCATTTTGTCTACACAAAAACTCAAAAATGACAAAAGCTAGAGTGCTGAAATTTTCAGTGATAATAGAGGACATGTTCTAGTTGTGCACCTCAGTTTTCAAATTTTCTGGAAGTGCCTAGTATGGAAGCTCGGTAGGGGTCAAAATTTAGGACATGAATCAGGAGTGAATTTTCGAGACATTTTTTATCATATCTTCAAAACTATGAATATTTTCTTAAAACATATTGAACAGAAATTGTGTAGAATAATAAGATCTTTTTTACGATATCAAGAAAAAAGGGCTGACTCATCACATTAGGGGCCAAGAGGGGCCAAAAGTCTTAAATCCATAACTCTTAAACGATCAATATTTTGATATACATTACTAAACCAAAAATGTTTATATGAACAATCTACAACTATATGTTATAATAAAAATCTCATATGTTACATAATTAAGGGCCATAAGGGGCCAAAATGCTAAATCTTTGACACTTTGTATCTCGAAAATGGGAAATATTTTGATAAGCAATATTGAAAAAAAGATGTTCAAAATAATGTGCTTAACAATATGCAACCTTTCAATATTTGCTAAGCGTCCCCATTAAGGAGTTGAAGGGCCGGCCCCTAAATATTTCTTTTTCATATATCTCGGAAACGAAAAAGAGTTCTGAATAGTTGTTAAACAAAATGTGTTCAATATCATAAGAACTTTAATGTGATATCAAGAAAAAGGGGCTGGCCCCTCAAAATCGGGGCCGATAGGGGCCGAAAGTCTTTCATCAATAACTCTTTAACGATCAATATTTTCTAAAATATTACTGCAGCAAAAATGTTTATCTGAGCAAACTACAACTATATATTATATTATTCACATCATATGCTACATAATTAGGGGTCGTGAGGGGCCGAAATACTAAATCTTTGACGCTTTATATCTCGAAAGTGGGAAATATTTTGATAAGCAATATTGAATAAAAGATATTAACAATAATGCTCTGAACAATATGTAACCTTTCAATATTTTCTAAATGTCTCCATTAAGGAGTTGAAGGGCCGGCCCCTAAATATTTCTTTTGCATACATCTCGGAAACGAAAAAGAATTTCTGAATAGTTGTTGAACAAAAAGTGTTCAAAATCATAAGAGCTTTAAGGTGATATCAAGAAAAAAGGGGCTGGCCCCTCAAAATAAGGGCCGATAGGGGCCGAAAGTCTTTCATCAATAACTCTTAAACGATCAATATTTTGTAATACATTACTAAGGCAAAATAGATCATCTTCACTTTCCTTAATTATATAACATGTTGTTGGCATCATATGTTACGTTATAAGGGGACATTAGGGGCCAGAATGCTAAATCTTTGATGCTTTATATCTCGAAAGTGGGAAATATTTTGATAAGCAATATTGAATAAAAGATGTTCACAATAATGTTCTGAACAATATGTAACCTTCAACTTTTGCTAAACGTCTCCATTAAAGAGTTGAAGGGCCGGCCCCTATTATTTCTTTTGCAGATATCTCGGAAACGAAAAAGAATTTCTGAATAGTTGTTGAACAAAAAGTGTTCAAAATCATAAGAGCTTTAAGGTGTTATCAAGAAAAAGGGGCTGGCCCCTCAAAATAAGGGCCGGTAGGGGTCCTAAAACGATCAATATTTTGTAATACATTACTAAGGCAAAATAGATCATCTTTACACTCCTCAACTATATAACATGTTGTTGGCATCATATGTTATGTTATAAGGGGACATTAGGGGCCAGAATGCTAAATCTTTGACGCTTTATAACTCGAAAGTGGGAAATATTTTCATAAGCAATATTGAATGAAAGATGTTCACAATAATGTCCTGAATAATATGTTACCTTTCAATTTTTGCTGAACGTTCCCATTAAGGAGTTGAAGGGCCGGCCCCTATTATTTCTTTTGCAGATATCTCAGAAACGAAAAAGAATTTTTTGAATAGTTGTTGAACAAAAAGTGTTGTAGGGGCCAAGACGGACCGAAAGTCTTTAATCTATAATCTTTAATGATCAATATTTTGTTATAGATTACTGAAGCAAAATTGGTCGTCTTAACAATTTATTTATATCATTATATTTGAACGAAAGTCTGAGTCAAATTCTTATCACATCTTATCAAAAATCGGACGGAAGACCCACTCGTTGCTCGCAACGAGATCGCATCTAGTCTTTTTATTATTTTTTTTTCCTTACCGATTTTGTGCAGAAGATTTCTCGGAGATCGCTCGATCGATTTGCTTCAAATGTTCAGGGTTAATGCGTTGCTATCTGAAGTTTATAACGCCATGTCAGTTTTTGAAAAATCACTTCCGGTCGGAAGTTATAGCCCTTTGATCGTTTTTTACATAGACTTTGTGTCTGCACAAAAACTCAAGAACGACAAATGCTAGAGTGTTGAAACTTTCAGTGGTAATAGAGGACATGTTCTAGATGTGCACCTTGGTTTTCAAATTTTCCGGAAGCGCGAAGTATGGAAGCTCGGTAGGGGTCAAAATTTAGGACGTGATTTATGAGTGAATTTTAGACACATTTCTTATAATAACATTTTAAATTGAAGTATTTTGTTATTACATGTTGAGCAAAAATTCTTCAAAATCATAAGACTTTTCATTTGATATGAAGAAAAAGGGGCTGACCTCTCAAATTAGGGGCCTGGAAGGGCCAAAAGTCTTTCATCTATAACTTTTTAATGATCAATATTTTGTTATAAATAACTGAAGCAAAAATGTTCATCTTAACATTCTGCAGCTATTTATTATAAAATTTTGATCATATGTTACGTAATAAGGGGCCATAAGAGGCCAGAATGCTAAATCTTTGACACTTTATATCTCGAAAAGGAAATATTTTGATAAGCAATATTGAACAAAAGATGTTTAGAATAATGTTCTAAACAAAATACACCCTTTTAATTTTTGGAAGACATCCCCATTAAGGACTTGGAAGGCTGGCCCCTAAATATTGTTATTCTATATATCTCTAAAACTAAAGGAAATTTCTGAATAGTTGTTGAACAAAAAGTCTTCAAAATCACAAGACGTTTCATTTGATATTAAGAAAAAGGGGCTGACCCCTCAAATGAGGGGCTCAGAAGGGCCAAAATACTTTCATCTTCAACTTTTTAATGATCAATATTTTGTTATAGATTACTGAAGCAAAAATGTTCATCTTAACATTCTGTAACTATATATAATAAAACTTTGATCATATGTTCAAAATAATGGGCCAAAATGGGCCAGATTGCCAAATCTTTGACACCTCGAACAAGGGGAAATATTTTGATAAGCAATATTGAATAAAAGATGCTCAGAATAATGTTTTAAACAATATGCATCCTTTCACTTTTTATAGACGAATATCTCAGTCAAGGTCTTGACTAATCTTATCCAAAATCAGACGGAAGATCCACTCGTTGCTCGCAACGAGAACCATCTAGTTTTGTTTTTATTATTTGGTTAGGATATCATTTTGGATGAAGTATCATTGAACTGCCTTAAACTCCAGAACAGTCAATTGAATCGGCTTGAATGTTTTGTTTTAATTTTGGGCACAGAGCAAAAGAAAGAGTTTATTATTATTATTTTTTTTTTACATCTAGACTATGTTCATAATGCATTTACCAATTCTCAGCTGCTTCTAATATATATGCAAATTAAATATATGCGTATTTATAATGATGTTCATCAGTGCGGGCTATTTACAATAATCTGTGTCTGTGTGTCATGGGACGGACCCTCACTGGGTCCATAGCAAATTATCATTTTAACACTATATGTACATATAATTGTGTACATATAATTCCCACGAATTTTATTTCGTGGCCACGAATTTGATTTGGTGGCCACAAATTTTATTTCATGGCCACGAATTTTATTTTGTGGCCACCAATTTTTATTTCGTGGCCACGAATTAATAAAAAAAAATTCTCATAACATGTCCTATACCAGCCACCGTATCAGTGGCGCAATCAAATAATTTTTTTCAGCAGGGCAAAATCAGGTCTTTAATATAACAGGTCTTTAGTACGTCCCTCATTTTTCGCACTTCATAGTTTCCATACTTTTTTAGTTTTTATCCATAGTCGGCTAAGTCGCCAGTATCTGTCGAAGTTCATCCAACCGAAAATGTATATATTTTAATTGTACAGCGTAGAATTAAATTGTACCTTCTTCGCCAGTTAACCAAGTTATAAGGATAGTGTATTTAGAGGTAAACTCTACATTGTAACTGCCATGGCCTGATCTGGTTTATAAAATGCTGTTGATCACCTTGGATGGTAAGTTTTGTGTTACAATATTATTGATAAGATATGACATGTATTTATAATTTTATGTATAGCCTATAGCGATTATATTATAGTTATGTAAGATGTTTCCGTAATAATACATGTATAGATTTGAATAATAAAAGAAAGAATGCATTGATGCAAAGCAAAAATGTAATCGAGGCCTACCCTAGCTATAGCAAATTTACGGGAATACCTAATTGAAGACCTACAGGTAAATGAAGACCTACGGAAGACCTAGGGAAGACCTACAAAAATATGGGCAATATATAGCAAAACTGATGTAATAGTCTGGCTAATCATGCCTTAAATATATAAAATACATAAAAAGTTTTATAAAAATAAGTTTTAAAGTGTATTTTTCAAGCTCGGTATGGGGAACTATTTCTTCTCTCAGACGACCTACCGCAAGAACGATAACTCGCGTAAATAACAAATCAGCTGTTCACCAAAACATATCAGAAAAATGTAAATAAATCAATAGTTAAATGAGGAAAAATAGAATCATTGAAGATATTTAAAAATAAATACATCAAAGATGAAATAATAAAAGGGAATATTCAATTAGATATTATTTTATTTTGTGAAAAAAATATAAATAAATAAAATAAAAATAAAAACAAAAAAACTTAACCAAAGCAGACACATATACCGGTACATAAATTTATATATACTACCATAATTTGATCAATCATAAAATACATGTATATGTATGTTTTTAAATGAATTATTGAATTGTTATAACAAGTTTCCAGATCCTATGAGTGGACTCTTTTCAACAAATTCCTTTATTTCTTTTTTAAAATTTATTTTAAAAATTATTTTGGTATATCAATGTACAAATTTAAATATTATAATTGAAATGAATATGTTTATGCTTTTGACAGAGTGTTAAAAGTTAAGTTTAAAAAATCTGAAGTAATTTTTCTTAAAGATCAGAGCCACAATCACTTACAAAATCTTCTTGTATTTCACTGACCCTGAACAGCAAAAAATAATAATTTATTCAAAATATGCATGCATTTCATTTAAGTGATTGCATGCATGTTACTTGTTTAATTTATAAAATGAATTTGTATACTTTGTATGTAAATAACAGACAGAATATATTACACTATTTCTTGCTGCTATCCATAAATTCATTGATTAATTCTGTAGATTTTAAATTGTCATGTTAATTTATATTTCATAGAATTCCACTTAAAAGTCTTACTATATTCCTATTTCAGTTAATATTTACTTTCAGTTAATATTTATTTTTCATGAAATATATTGTTCTTATCTTAAAGAAAGGTCAAACAGTGTAAGTTTAAGAACTTCTGTTTTCATTTCCTTTCAATTTAATTATTTAATAAAAATATGTTCAAGATCGATTTACTGTATATTTTGGCTCTACATATTAAAAAAAAAATTCTTTAAGTTAATGTTTTATTTAGTATTTCTTGGCGTACATGACAGGTTATTTTAAAATAACAATTTTTTTTAGTTGTTCTTGCCACTGTAAAAAAAATATGTTTTTGATTAAGGGAAAAAAGCGACCATTTTGGAATTTTTTTTTTTTTCAAAATGTTATCATTTTAGTCACATGTAAAACTCATTGATTTTTTATTGGTTTAAAAAGTTATTTTATATTTGAAATCTAATTCTTTCATGTAGCAGAGACAGTGAGTGTCTCTGTAAGAAGATAATATAATTCAAAGATTTTTTAAAGATATATCTTTGCTTTGTTGACTGTTAATTAACTTCATCAGAGCAAGTGGGGTATGTTGATAATTGCAATCAAAACACGGATATATCCTCAGGGTGTGTATATAACACATTAGTGTTGAAGCCTTTAGTTCAGAGTGATATCTTACTTTACATGGTTTAAGACAAATCCACAGTATACATATCAATATTTTAGATTAGAATATTTAATATTTATCCCATAAAACATATTACATGTTTGAAAAATTGCAATTTATATTAAATAATAAATATTGACTATATATAATATTGACAGTATACATCTAATGTGAAATAATTATTTATATATACACTGTATAAATCTCATCAAAATTCATATTTCAACTTATATCTTTATTATAAACATGATTGAAAAACTCAACAAATATCATTTGGATTTTTTTTTTTGTGTATTTCTTATTTTCCTTATTCACTTCACCAAATTGTTTACAAGTCAACCAGAGTTACCGTTCTTGCGATAGATCATTCTGAGAGAAGAAATAGTTCCCCATACCGAGCTTGAAAAATACACTTTAAAACTTCTTTTTATAAAACTTTTTTGTGTATTTTATATATTTAAGACATGATAAATCAGAATATCACATTAGTTTTGCTGTATATAGCCCATATTTTTGTAGGTCTTCCCTAGGTCTTCCGTAGGTCTTCAATTACCTGTAGGTCTTCAATTAGGCAGGCCGCAAATTTACGCCTCATTGACTTTGTGAAATAACAAGAGAATGAATCAGCAGAATATTTAAAATTTGAGCTGTTAATAATAAATAATAGAAATTGATAGCAAGATATAAATTTTGTTTATAAAAAATGGACTACCGGGATTACTTTGATTAAATGATGGCTCTAATCTACGTGTTGTTTAAACGAGACCTGTACAAAGGTAACGGGACGTTTCGCCCCATTTGACAATTTGCGCTAAGTCCATTCGCCCCTCAAGACTTTTCGTACTCAGACGTTACGCACCAAATAGAATATTATCTATAAATTTTAAGATGTTGATATTTATGTACATATAAAGTTCATATTTACTTTTATCTTAAAAAAAAAAACAAAACAAAAACAAATTATTTCTAGTTAATTTACTGAAAAATTATCCACATGCAGATATAAATTAATACATGAACATGTATGTTTATTCAGCAATCGTAATTAACTGGCTAAGTTTTTAAGTTGTTAAAACTGATTTGGGGACACTCCATGTCAAATTAACAGTCAGGGGCATAATGCAAACAGATTGTTAGAAAAATAACTTAATATATAAGTTATTTCACACACACAAAATTTTTTTTAATGATAACTTGTACAAGTTACTTTTATATCCTACTTAGACATTGATTTCTTGGGGGTTTCGTATTTCCTGCCAAAATATATTGCATTTTGGGATTCCATTAGGCTATGTAATACAAGATTGAGTGCACAGACTCCAATGGAGAATTCGTGAGGAGGTGGAGACAAATAGCATTTTACTTCTTATTTTGAAGTGTTATTTATGGAGAATTGGTGAGGAGATGGAGACAAATAGCATTTTACTTCTTACTTTGAAGTGTTATTTACATTGTTTTGGTCAAGTTTTTATCATTAAATAAATGATTTTTCCCAAGGCTTTGGACAACTTTTTTGGATTAGGCAAGGTTTAAATTTAACCAATCATTTGTTTTTGTCTCAGTGCACAAGCAAAAACCTCACACAGGGTGTGAAGTTAGGGAGGAATGACACAAAATAACTTCAATTAGTTATCATTTTATTGAAACTATTTTGGAAAGATAACTTGTTTGAGTTACTAATGATGGGAAAAAGTTGGACAGAAGTTAAGAGGGGTAACTCACTGTGACCAAAAAATAACTCATTTGAGTTATTTTTGACAATAACTTGTTTGCATTATGCCCCTGACTGATTAAAGAGGATACTAAAAATTTTTAGATGTGTATTAATTATGTATATACATGTATCAACTTGCTATTTTAAAGTGAAATTGTCAATTAATAAAAGGTGGTATTGTTCAAATATATGAAGTAAAAGTGGTGCATTCTAAGTTTTAAAATTTAACTAAAATTATTTTAAAAAGTGTGCTTTATATCAATGCATTTCAGCAGGGTTTTCTACATACTGTCTTTTGTACATAACTTGATAAGAGGTTGAAAAGAAAAAAAAATATATGAAATGATTGTTGTAAATTATATTTCTGGGGGCAATCACTTTATCCCGCCAGAGAATACCTGGGTCCCATCGTGGGGGCAAATGTAACAGACTTATGTTCAAATAAGAAAATGTAAATCTGTCATAGGTTCGACATCTCCATTTATTTCACAGACAAGCAAATCATAAATGTTGGAAATGAAATTGACAATTGGAAATTGGGAATGCTCTGGAAAATTATAATAACAGAAAATGAATACATAGCATAAAATAATCGGATTTTTTATCCATTATAATCTGTATTGATATAGTAATTACAATTTGCAGTTAACAGATATGCTGCATAAAGAGAGATCAGGTTCTGTCCATGTAACTCTGTACATGAACATGATGAATTACACATAATCAATTATCCTTTTCAGTATTACATTTTAAAACTGAAATATTTATGCAAAAAAACTGAGCCATTAATAACTATAATGTCTATACATATATGTTCTACACTATTTGATGATTATCATAAAATGTATTAAAAACATAAAGGTCATAAATATCAAACCAATTTATGGGATTGAGCCTTTCCCATTCATGATTGTCAGCATGGCTAACAGTGTGTCCTTATCATAAAACTACAACTTGTCATATAGTTTAGGCCATCATTAAAAATATTTTTGTTTGATGTACTCCAACCCATATTTTTGAAGGTGAGTAGGTAGGTGGGTTTTTATCTTTATTATTTATTTTTTTTTAGGAATTATCAAACACAATGATAAATGTTACAAAAATAACAGATTTACACGTTTATACCTCCATGACTTTTTAAACTTAATCAACATAGTTTATATGTTTGCAAAATTCAGCAAAAACCAAAAAAGACATATGGATCCTTAAATTTTAAAAGCACCTCAGACAATTTATGTTTTTCTATTAACGAAAAAAAAAAAAAATAAAGTACTGAAAAAAAATGATTGGACAGGGGCAATTTTGATAGGTCAGTCGGCGTACATCAAACAATTTTTTTTTTTAATTTTGGCCTTACATATAAAGTAAACTTCATTATACCCTCCGCAAACAAAGTTTGGGGGGTATATATAGGAATCACCTTGTCCGTCTGT